TCAAAATGAAAATCAATACAAAATAGATATAAAACTTCAAGAATCAAATTCAGATGTAAATCGAAATAAAAAGCACTTATCTGTACTCGAATTGCTGACGAATTCCCAATCTCGCCGGTGCCTCGAGAAATTTGTTTACGTACGGTTACGTTTTACCGTGTTAAAATGGCGCCGAAATGGATGACGCAGTTTCGACTTTAAATATACTTAATAAAATTGGGTGAATGAAATGAATCCGCTGTCCCGCTGCGGATATTAGTAAAATATATTTAGAAAATTAGCTGCGTTGGAAAGGATGAAACCTTGTGTTTGAATTTGCGGTATTTTTCCTCCTAAAGTTGCGTCGAGTTCAGAATATTATGCCAGGCTTATTCACGCTGGTGCAGATAAGTTCAAATTTTGTTTATTGTGTTTATAGTGTATAACTTGCAAATATATGAATAGAATTCTATTAAATAAACATTTAAAATTCTGGAATGGTGTTTTAAAATTTTAGATGTAGAGTATTCACATTGCTATGTCGGAGCCAGTGGCAGTCAGGTGTAAAGTAAAATTGTTTTTGCTCCACGACATAACAAAATGGCGAGCCAGCCAGGATTGCGATCCTGATTCGAATGTGTTGGGATTATTATATTAATATAGTTGAGAAAGTATTGTGTTTGCTATATTATATTATTGTAGAAGTAAATATTAATTTAAGTGTTATTTGGAAACGTAATGCGTTTTATCGTCTGCAATGTTGAATTTCGTATTTGTATTCGAATTAGTTTCAATTTTCAATCGAAATGCTATGCGTTAAATCGTCTGCAGTGTAAACGTAGAAAAGGTTATGCGTTAAATCTTCTGCTGTGATATTCAAAATAATTTTGTTTTGCTGTATTATGAATGTTATGACATATTGTTATTCATTTTTATTATATTGAGTTATATTTTTGGAATTGCTGAGTAAAGACGTTTTTGAGGATTTGTCGGATTGATGATAACATTACAGATTTTGAGTTTTAAGTGGGTCTGCATTTAAAGATAAAAATGGATGTTGATATGTTGAAGAAAAAGGCGTGCAACGGCACGCAGTGCCTTTACTAGGACGGCTAAGATTCTAAAAACGACGAACTTTGTAAAGATGTTCAAGCGGATAGAGATGTATTGAAAGACAAAATTTTGAAGTTGCAGATGATAATTGCTGAGTTGAGATCTTGCGATTCAGAAATACTAGATTCAATGATTAAGGGAAAAGCCGCTGAAGATGATCTGGAAACAGAGGTCATAGGCTGCGAAGAATATTCAGATGAGTTTATCACGCTTAATCGTCGGGTGAAAGAGAATATAGATAATGCGGTTGACCGTAGTGTCAATACGAGTTCTAACACGGATAGTAGCATAAGTGCTTCTAATGGAAAACGGTACAAGTTGCCGAAAATTCAAATTAAAAAATTCGATGGACAATTATTAAGTTACCTTACATTTTGGGGTCAATTTAAAAAGATCCATGAGGATAAGGAGCTTAATGACGTTGACAAATTCCATTATTTAGCTCAATCAATGTTACCCGGAACTCGGGCTAGTGAGTTGATAGATAGTTATCCTTTAACGGCTGAAAATTACCCGAAAGCCATTTCTGCGTTTGAGGAGCGTTTTGGAAACAAGGAAATTTTAACTGAGATATATGTGAGGGAATTGTTAAAATTAATTATCCAAAATGTACGCTCACAAGGGAAAGGATCGGTTGCCGCTAGTGTCACTGTTTGACAAAATCGAATCCCATCTCAGATCTCTAGAGTCTTTAGGCTTAGCCCTGGATACTAATGTTTCCTGGTTATATCCCATGGTCGAGTCTTGTCTGTCTGCTGAGATGCTTCGAGTATGGCAGAGAAGCGTTTTGTTCAGTAAAGAAGGATCACGTCTCACAAATCTCCTGGAATTTTTGCGTAAAGAGGTCGAAGGAGAGCAGAGAGTTAAACTAGCCAGGTCTGGATTTGAAATTTCTTCTACTTCGCGCAATGAACATTCTAAAGATGTAAAAGTTAAGACCAAAAAACCAATCGCTAGCGCAGCAAGTCTAGTTGCTGCCAAAGAACAAAAATGTGTTTTTTGCGGAAAATCTCACGAAAGCAAAGAATGTTTTACAGCTCGATCGATGAGCTTAAAGGAAAGATTAGACAAATTAAGAGAATTAAAATGCTGCCTCCGCTGTCTTAAACCAGGGCATTTTGCGAAGAAGTGTCCACAGTTTATTCAATGCTATTTGTGTAGGCGATCTCACCCTATAATTTTATGCCCGGAGGTATCAGAAAACAATGCTGACAATAAGGAAAAACGAAACGAGTCAGTAATGGTACAAAGTACAATGTCCTCTCCCTTATGTATGAATGAAGTCACTCTTATGACGTTAATGGTTGAAATAGTTGTAGGCACTGTAAAGAAGGTGGTCAGGTGCCTCTTGGATTGTGGATCCCAACGATCTTACGTTTTACAATCCACAGCTTGAAGCTTTAAATCTGAAAAGCACTTCCTCTGAGACTTTAACTCACGCGTTATTTGGCGGAACAAGGACTGAGTCAAAAATTCACAAGAGATATTCTATAGGTCTAAGCCCGGTTGGGAAAAAACAAAGTGTGCCAATTTAGTTTTCTGGATCAAAATACCATTTGTGGAGGCATACCACGCATACCTAAAGGACCGTTATTGAAGGAATTAAAAAGACACAGAATTTGGATTTCAGATGTCGGTGAGGGTCACCCGGAAATAGAAATCCTCATAGGGAGTGATATTTATGGGCAAATACTTACTGGTGAAGTAATTCAGCTTGAGGGTGGTTTGACAGCCATAAATACTAAACTGGGATGGACGCTGTGCGGGGAATCGAAAGGAACGATTATCCAAAGTTTTGAGGGTACCCCATCTATGTTAGTAACTAATCTTCTTATTCAAGACATGGAACCTTCCTTTATGTGGAAGTTAGAAACTATCGGCATTGCAGATGATGCGCAAAGCATTTCCAGGGTCGCAGAAGATCAAGCAGCGAAAGAGCAGTTTCTTAGGGGCCTTCGCAGAACCGGAGATGGTAGATATTGCGTGAGTTTACCTTGGGCTCTAAAATTCCCTCCTGATATTCCCTCTAACTGGCATATTGCAGAAAAGAGGCTCTTTGCTACTACGAGAAAATTGAGAAAATTAAATAAATTTGATGAGTATAGTACAGTATTTAACGAATGGCTAGCGGAAGATGTCATAGAAATTGTCCCAAAATCAGTAAAGAATGACGGAGGGCATTATTTACCACACCATCCAGTAATAAAATTAGGTAGCCTCACTACCAAGATTAGGCCTGTATTCGATGCGTCGAGCAAAGTCGTTGGTTCGCTTTCGCTAAATGATTGCTTGATAAAAGGTCCAAACCTTGTAGAAGAAATCTCAGCCATTCTAATGCGGTTTAGGGAAAAGGCAATTGGTGTGTGTAACATCCGATATTAGGCGGGCCTTTTTACAGATTGAGGTAGAGCGTGAGGATCAAAATTACTTAAAGTTTTTGTGGTGGGTAAATAATAGAATTGAAGTGTTTCGTCACAAGAGGGTTGTTTTTGGGTTAACTAGTAGCCCCTATTTATTGGCAGCTGTGATTTCATTTCATTTGTCCCACGTTTCACCTGAATTCAAAGCTGTTGCGAATAAACTTGCCAAATCATTTTATGTTGACAATTGTGTCACGTCAGTCGATGATAACGAAGAGCTAAAGGTTTTTATGAGCCAGTCGATTACTATTATGGCAGAAGCCAAAATGGATCTTCGAATGTGGACTTTTAATCAATATGGTGATCAAGAGCTAGCAGCTGAAGATAGTGATCCAGTCTCCGCAGTTCTAGGCTTGCAGTGGGACCGACGAGATGACAGCCTTACAATATCCGTCCAAAGAGAAATCGTTAAAAGAGACTTATCAAAAAGGAGACTATTGTCTCTAATCCATGCTGTTTTTGACCCGCTAGGTTTCTTTGTGCCCGTCATATTACCTGCGAAATTAATTCTTCAAGAGGCTTGGGCAACAAAATCGACCTGGGATAAGCCATTACCGGAGATGAACTTCAAACAAGATTTGAGAGATGGTACGAAAGGTTGCCTAGTCTTTCCAGCCTTAAATTACCTCGTCGCATGGGTCATGGAATTAAGGATTCATGGACTCTACACGTCTTTTGCGATGCCAGTCAAGCTGCTTATGCAACTGTCATTTACTTACGAAGTAAGGAAGAAGACAAAGTTTTCGTGAAATTCGTCATAGCAAAATCACGGTATCGCCCTTAAAGAAAATAACTATTCCGCGTTTGGAGTTGCTAGCCTGTGTTCTAGGTGCACGCTTGGCAAGGTATACTGTTGAAACCCTGTGCTTAGTCGATGTCCCGATATATTACTGGACAGACGCTACTGTGGCTCTTAGCTGGATACAACGAGAGGAAAACTGGGGAGTATTTGTGAATAATAGAGTAAAGGAGATTCGGAAACTCTCGAAGCAGGAATGTTGGAGACATATCCCTGGGAAATTGAATCCGGCAGATGTGGCATCTCGTGGCTGTACGCCTGAACATTTGCGGCAATGCAATTGGTGGGAGGGCCCCGAATTTCTGAAAAGCTCTCCGAAAGAATGGCCAGACTTTGAGTTTACTCCAGACGAAAATTCTGTTGCAGCAGAAATTAAGAAAGGGAGTGAATTGTCAATTTGAGTATAAAATTAGAAGATTCTGAGTGGTACAAACGTTTTTCGAGTTTTTCTAAAATAGTTCGAGTATTCTGCTGGGTTCTACGCTTTACTAATAAACTCCTAAAGAAGCCCTCGTATTCTTCGGATACCTTAACAGTAGAAGAAAAAAAACTAACGCCGAAACATTTTTGTGGAGTTTAGAGCAAAGGAAGCACTTTCAAGAGAAAGGAGATTCCGTCCATGGATTATTGGTAGTGAGAGACAAACGACGGAGTCCTCAGAGTTAAAACTAAAATCATTGAACGTGATGATGAATTCTGCTTCCTTTATCCCCTGTTGCTTTCGTCCAAGCATTACTTTAACTGAATGCCTCATAAGAGAGTATCATGAAAGGAACTGTCATGCGGGAGTGCAGATATTAGCTGCTAAGTTAAGAGAGCGATACTGGATCATTTCGTCGAAACGTAATATAAGATCTTGCGTAAGTCGATGTGTAGTATGTAGGAGATTTACCGCTAAGGCTTTATCTACCCCTCCGATCCAGTTACCCCTTGACAGAATAAGAGATTCGGCAGTCTTTGAAACAACTGGAGTCGATCTTTGTGGACCTTTACTTCTGAGACCAAAGAGTAAAGCTTGGATCGTCTTGTTCACCTGCGCCGTATACCGGGCAATTCACCTGGAGCCTGTCACCTCTCTGAGTACCGAAACGTTTCTACAGGCTCTGAGACGGTTCATTGCCAGACGAGGCCGTCCTGCGACAATGTATTCAGATAACGGAACCAATTTTACCGGAGCAGACAATGCTGAGATGCCTGGATATGGATGGAATGATAAAAGGCTGGAAAACGAAGTGATTCACTGATTAACACGAATATTCTGGTACTGAATAACCTGAATATTAATGAAAATGGGAATCATTCAAATAAATCCCGAAATACGACCTGCGAATTTATCACAATGGTTCTGGGATCTATAGGATGGGGTGTGCGTGGTTAGTTCGTTCTGGGATGGACAGATGGTGATGGCTCTCTGCGAAGCTTCCGTTCTGTGGGAGATTGTCGAGGAGATTCGACCGACTGAATTCTAGGGAGACGTCGGTGAATTTCGAGGAGTTACTGACCGTCCTGTGTGATGTTGAATCCACATTAAACAACCGTCCTTTAACATACATCTATGATGATTCGGAAGAGCTCGTACCTCTGACACCTTCCCTGTTTTTGCAAGACATAAAACAAGTGGGGTACCAGATCTGGATTACATCGATTCCCAGAAACTGAATGTGCGTGTAAATTACTGCAATACGTTGAGACAAGAACTGAGAAGTCGCTTCCGCAAGGAATATCTGGCTCAACTAGTGCAGAAGGCAAGCGCTTCATGTCAAAACCTAAAGGTGGGGGATGTAGTCCTCATAGAACTAGACAATAAAAAACGTGTAATGTGTGGCCAATGGGCAAAATTGTAAAAATATTCAGTAGCAGAGATGGGGCTACCAGAGTGGTACAGGTAAAAACAAGCAGTGGATATTTGGTAAGACCAATCAAAAAACTGTATCCACTAGAAGTTTCAACTACCAGTGATCCTGTGCTAACTCTGGCAACTGAAAACAGATCTAGATACGGTAGACTCTTAAAACCAAGGACATGCTCATTAGAAATAATGTACAATATAGACGTTTTGGACTTATATCCTCTTTTCTTTAGCAATGACTTTAATTAGAAGTTTATTCTTTATTGATCTCATTTTAGTATGATCTGTCATATATATTGTATGTTAACCGAGTTTCTTTTATGTGTTTTCTAAACTAATACATAGTACTGTTTTGTTTTATTCGTAATGTTAGAAAATTTTGTGCAATGTCTGATTTTGAGAAAATCAGGGTGGGAGGATGTTGTACCTCTCATCATACAGCGAGGATAAGTCTGGCAACAGCTGCAGGAAGAAAAAACTTGGCAGTGCTGGAATGGCAACAGCGGATGATATTCTATAGATTTTAATTTTGATTTTGAGTCGATGTTTTTCCTTTGCGATACTATTGCGTTAAAACATTTGAGTTTTGGGTGAATGAATGAAATGAATCCGCTGTCCCGCTGCGGATATTAATAAAGTATATTTAGAAAATTAGCTGCGTTGGAAAGGATGAAACCTTGTGTTTGAATTTGCGGTATTTTCCTGCTAAAGTTGCGTCGAGTTCAGAATATTATGCCAGGCTTATTCACGCTGGTGCAGATAAGTTCAAATTTTGTTTTTTGTGTTTATAGTGTATAACTTGCAAATATATGAATAGAATTCTATTAAGTAAACATTTAAAATTCTGGAATGGTGTTTTAAAATTTTAGATGTAGAGTATTCACATTGCTATGTCGGAGCCAGTGGCAGTCAGGTGTAAAAATTGTTTTTGCTCCACGACACATAATAAAATTCACACTAAACATTTAGATAATTCATCATGATAGCTAAATAAGAATAACCGTTTAGGCCGCTACGTTAGCGCCGATCTAGACGAAAAACTCAAAGCGTGTTGCCACGCTGGCAATGAAAAGGTGGAAATATTGATAGGGAAGTGAACATACCCCCCCATCAGTTTAGTCCTGATACCAGGCAAAGGGAAAGTTTATAATTGGTCTTTGAAGACACAAGTTTTAGTTTTTGACTGTACTACGCGAACTAAGCCGTCCTTGCCGGATGACATCGATGATCCGTCCTATAGGCCAGCTAAGGTGGAGATCCATCTTCAATGACAAGAACCACCGTGTCTACCTTCAATTTGGGTTTGGTGTCTGCCACTTGGATCTGTGCTGAAGAGAAGTCCAGTACTCCCTTTTTTTACTTCTAAAATTCGCGACGTAGATTCTGTACAAGATCCCACCTAGAACTCCTTGAGCGAACAGACTGATGTGTCTCTAGAAAAGAAGTCAAAGTATCACCTGTAATAAAATGAGAAGGGGGTTAAAACATAATAGACTCATAACATAATAGAATATCAGAATCGTTCACGTAAGTAAGTGGACGTGAATTTAAAATAGCCTCGATCTGGGTAAGTAGCGTTGACAAATCTTCGTAGGTTAAAAGAGTCTCTTTCAATACTCTTCTCAGATGAAATTTCGCTGGGCGAAGCCGGCTTCCCATATTCCTCCGAGTGGGGCGAAGCAGGCGGTATAAATGCCATTCATAGATGACTTAGTTAGTTCTCGGAACCGCTTCTGTTCATACAAGGGAAGACCAAATCTGATTTAGTTCTTGTAATTTTCGCCTGCTCCCACAAAATGGTACCGTTGTCACTGTAATGTGCGTGGTGCACCGCGACGGAAATGAAGCGTCTAAGTGCAGCGATAAACGAGTCTGCCGCAGTCACTGACTGCTTCTATATGCCACAGCTTTATCGACAAGCAAACAAACAGAGCTATATACCTTTCGTTGTTTTAGAACCGCGACCCTTATTAATTCATGGTAATAGGACCATCGTAATCCACACCAGATGCGTAAAAATGTCGTTCCCAGTAACACGTGCGGTAAGTCACCCATCAATTGCGGATTTGAAGCAGCTTTAATCGATGACATATTAAGCAATGGTTTACACAACCGTGTATCATCTCTTTCCTCAAAAGCGTGTTGC